TGATCATGAAGAATAAATTGAAAACTTTGCTTCTCTCCAAAGCTTATTATTCGCTGGAAGAATTCTTCAATGATAATTTAAACTGATGTTGTTCGCGTTGAATATTTCATGTCGTATCATTCTGCATTGTGATGTAGTTTAGTCTCTTTTGAACCCTACATATAGATGTATATGTTTGTGTTCTGTATCTAATATTTTTTTTTTGTACCTTGGGAGCTGTCTGACTTGTCCATTTAGTCCAAGTCTTCAGAAAACACTGCAGCCTCTTGGGCTTATTGCGTTTATTCTCCCATCTTCTCATGACACCAATTCCAGCAGTCTCGTTCCCTATACTAGTTTGTACAGGTTTTGTGTTGGATGTTCGTCATATTCTTCTGGACGTACGTACTTCCATATATTGCCTGCCTGTAGAGCTATCCCTTCGTTGCATATTCTGCAGCTGAGGTCTTCGTTGTACAGCCCCATTCAGGTGTCCTCTAAGCGGACAATGACCGGTTAGTAGCCCTGTAATTATTCTGTGCCGATCCCTACTATATTGAAGTAATTCTTCGATTCTTGTCTCGGACGGTTTCCTAACGAAGGTTCTACTGTGTTTGTTGCCAGGTACTTTTGTCCAGTACTCTGTGTGCTTCTTATTGGTCCATGTCCAGAACTGGTTCAGGACCTATATATGATCCGCGTCTAGCGCATTCATCAGCTTTATCATTACCTGTGATTCCTGAATGACCTGGCACCCAGTAAAAAGTTAATTTGTTCCTGTTTGCAAGTTCATTCAGTTCTTCAGGGCATTCCCAGACCAGTTTTGATGTCAGAGCCCCTAGTGCGCTCTTGCTGTCAGTAAAAATATTGATCCGCTCATTTCTTTGAGGTCTACTAACTGATACTGAGATTCGCCCGGAAGCGACAAGTTAAATGTGTAGTGATATATCCATTCGACTAGGGAAGGCCTGTGACACCGTACGTCACCGATGTAGTTAACGCCATCAGGATGTTAAGTTTCAAATGAACCAAAAGGTCTGGAAGCGTAATTAGTAGATGACTTAACCTGTACCTAAACCTCCTCCCTACACTTGTCCTTGAATGACGTCGCATGGCGTCGAACCTGAATGACGTCACATGGCCTTCACCTTGAAAGACGTCACATGACCTCGACCTTGAAAGACGTCACATTACCTTGAGTAACGACCTTGACCCCCCCAAATCAACCCCCAACGCCGTGAAAACCCCAAACCCCTGAAAAAACTAATCTCCCCACCCTCATTTTTACTGATGCTATTCTGTAAAAAAAAATACTTTCCTAAATCAAAAGGAGAATATTTTTGGGAGAGATTATTTTTTGGGAAAAAACGTTTTGGCTTTCTACTTCTCCATATTTATCAAAAAAATGTGGGAAAATTTCAAAGTTGAGAATGATAGTTTTCAATGTATTTCAACTTTTATGTGAAAGTAATTGTTACGGGACGGCTTTTATTTGCAGTTCGTATCTGAAAGTAACTTTCACACATCTCTATAGAGTTTATTTTTACTTAACTGCTTTCCTCCTTTCTGCAGATTTTCGTCAAATTTTTTATACAGATAGAGAAGTAAAAAGGAATGTTTTCCCAAAAATTTTATACTGCTTGACAAAATGAAAATTCTGCAAAATTCTTGATTCACCTCTTTTTCCATGTTAAAGTCAATTCAAAAGCGGGCTCAAATCCTCTCTATTTATATTGATCTAAATTGAATTAATCATTAGTGGGTTAGCACATATCTCTACCTTTATTCATACGTACAATTTAGTGACAGTATTAATTTCTTTTTCTCCATTCACCATTTTCCATCTCGTTACTATGGGATCTGCAGCATGATTTGGACCCCATTTACCAAGAATCCCACGTCCTTTTATACCAGTTCGCCCTTCAGGATTCTGTGGTCTACCATCAACAATATTGTAAATTCCCATATAACTCTTACGATTTATGACTCCATCCAACTCATTCCACTTTGGTTCAAATTTAGGGTCATCTGAAAACTACTTGAATTTCTACTGGTATCCAAAGAACTTTGTTTTTTCTTACTAAGTGGTGGGTCAGCCCAAGGTTTGTTCAACAGAACTTCAGAATTATATTCTGGAGGATCATAACCATCCCAATTTGTACTCCAACTAACAAGATCTTCATTAACAACCACCCTTTTCAATTCCGAAAATGGATATGTTCCATTTCTACATTTTGAATGAACCATCCTTATCAAAATCATAGGAGAGCAGCTCAAAAATATATTAATGGTATTTTTTTGGTAAAATAAATATTTTAAGCAAGCTACTAAATACAAAAATAATAACTTCACTTTCCAACAATAATTTTGATGTTTTTAGCAATGAGTTCCTACTGTAGATAAAGAATAAAGTACAGTATTTTGTGCCAACTTCAACTTCACATAAATTTCTGACAATCCCCGATAACATAATTAACAATGTTGCCAAGCATCTACTACATGTTGAATATTTAACCGTACGTTCACTTAAGCCCTCACAACGATCAATATACCCCTTTGACGTCATTACTTTCGCTCACGACAAGTTCACAGTGACCCATCTGAAGAGGTGGGTCAAAGTGAACGTTGAGAATATTTTGGCGCAATTTTTGAAATTGTTTTTATGACAATGTGACATTTAAAGTCCGAAGATGTCGACAAGAAATTTAGGAGTAGCATAAGTTTAAAGTAGATGTGCAATTACACATGACACTTTCAAAATCTACAGTGTTAGTATACAGTAGTATGGTATTTTGAAGTTGTTTGCGACACGACCATCGTATTCACTCGATTTAAAAAAAAACGACAAAAAATAAAAAGAGATTCAATTCATTATACATGTAGTTCTCATTTCTGCGGATATCCCAATATCAGTGAAAAGGTCTATTGAACCTCCGTAAATTTGGTAGAAATAACCACCTCGCAACCTGCAGGCAAAGTTGGGGAGCAACTCTACTACTACCTTAATATTCGGAGGTGGTAGGTGCGAGTCAAAATAATAAAAATATATTTCAGTGAAATTCATGAAAGAAATGCCCATGAGCTGGCGAAATATCAAACTCTTGCCTGTCATGTGAGACCTACTATTTTGAAACTATGATTTGTCAGAGTGATGGAGAAACAACAAACCTGGTTAATGGTACGCTAAACGTTGAAATTGATCCATCAGAATCTGTATAACGTCTTTTGTTTGGAAGATTTATTGCAACCTCCTGTAAATGGGTAAAGTTGTCACCGAAAGACCGGTATCGACACCTTTATGGTTACTGAATTACTCATCAATCCCTATAAAATTATAGGAATATAAAATATTCATTCAACAAATGTCTTTTTTAACAAAAACAATACAATTCAAAACATGTCAAAATGTAAAGTCGAGTTATCTAATATACCTACTGCGGTCAATACTCAATAATCGACGTTTGGCGATGATTATTTTCAGTTTGACAGTATGCTGAGAAACATTTTGAAAACATTTTTGAATCGATTCATTTCAAAATAAACTCCTTACAAAGATGTGCAGATAATGCAAAGAAGTAACTTTTTCTTACAGTTTGTGTCCAAGCTGTCGTTTCCACTGGAGCGATGTTATAAGCGATGCAACATGAGCAATCTTTTGTCGCCCGATGCATCCTTTATCCTCACAACATTCCAGTTCACACTAGAGCGATACGGTAGCCAATAGGATAAGCAACGGAGCAGTTGTCTTCATCAGTCGTCATGAGCTCCTCAGAGGAGGACGTTGTTTTTGCTTACCGGCACTCGCAAAAGAGGAAACTGGAATCTGGAAAATACTGGATACACCCATATAATGTTTAATATTAAACACAGTTTGGCAATGGTTTCCTGTGAGTTCTCTCAACATGAATAGAAATTTAGAGAATTTCATAGAATGAGCTCAAATAGTTACCATATTTTATTGAGATTGGTGTCAAGGGGACTGGAGAAGCACAGGTTCTGCTCCACCAATTTCACGAAGGAAATGTAGGATTGCACATATTCTTGATGACCCAACATGAACGTGTCGAACGATATTGCGCCTTCCTTTCGCTCGAATGACCCGGTAACTGTGTCTCTTTCATCAACGTGACTCCGATAATTATAATAATCGGTATAGTATCGCGATCGCTCCATTGTCCACTTAATAAGTTGCTTTCATTATGTATGCATGATTATGAGTGATCGGTGTCAAATCAGGATCGGCTTGCATATCGAATCACCTGTTGCATCGTTTATCGTATCGCTCCAGTGGGAACAGCGCCTAATAATTACTCCTCTGCATAATCTACACATCTTTGTATATAAAGAGTTTATTTTCAAAACAACTGTTCTTCCTTTCTCTGGAAGATTCCCATATTTTTTTGTAAAAAGATGAAGAAGTAGAAAGCCAAAACCTTTCTTTCTTGGACTTTCTTTCTGTTACCGGAATTGCACTTCTGAAAAGAATTCTATAGAATATTTTTTTCGATAAATGAACCATAAATGGTTTCATCGAATTCAGTCGAAAATTGACAGCTGAATGTTGGCACCCAGCAATTCACAGTGTTTCAAATGTGATCGGAATTTCTCCGAGTGAATAGATCAAATCGGTTGGGAATAAGGAAAGAAAGAACCAAAACAAACTTGAGACTTGAGGATGTCTGTTGTTTTATAGTCATAATGTCTATGATTATTATTTGTATTGTTTGTTAATTATTATTTCTTATGTTGCTTTTTATTTAATCAAAGATTTTATTGCTCCTCATCTAGTGTTATAAACATGGACTGGAGTTTGAATTATGACGAACCCGATAATCCAGCCCATTGGAATTGTTCTGAAGCTGCTAATACTACAAGGAATGTTTTAGAAACAAACAACGACAATTTGGTATTTCAACAAAATGATTTGTTTCCTTCGGCTTTCCCAGTTTTGGCTGATATTCGGCGCCAAGGAAAACTATGTGATGTCGTACTGAAGGTATTTTATTCAGATTCAAGAAATTGTTGACAAAGGCTAACAAGCATTTTTCAGGTCAATGGTCAACATTTCAGCGCTCACAAAATAGTGTTAGCTTCGACAATTCCTTATTTTTATGCCATGTTTATGAATGACATGATAGAATCCAGAAACAAGGAAATCGAAATCAAGTGTATTGATGCAACGTAAGGATAATGATAAGAATAAGTGTACATTAGTGTAAAATAGCTCTAATAGAAAAAATATAAAAAAACAAACATCATAAGCGAATAATAAAATCTGTAGTTGGGGAGTAACAAGATTCAGTTATAAATGACTCTTTTCAAAATTATGTTCACCAGAACATACTGAAATAACATAACAGGGATTTTGCATGGGTAACCTCTATGAAGAAGCCGTTTGGGAAGAGAATGGACGAGCTGCTTCAGTAAAGCTGCCTCACTTAAGTTAAGTTCAGGCTACTGAAATTTATTGTAATTTCTTCATCAAGAGTGCCATAGGTCGAGAGTTTTTGACAAAATATTTTACATAGGGAAGGGGTTCAAGCCATTAAACTAGGGATATTCTTTGCATCTTGGGACAACCAATATTACAGTTGGGACAAGGAAAGAATACATGTGCATCATCATTAAAATGCATGATAAAACAACAAAGTTTGCTTTACATCATAGGGAGCTCTTATTTGAATAACTAGACAGAGGTGAGCTAATTATCAACAATTTCTTTCTTCACATAGAGTATAGTAGAATACTTTATTTGACTATAGTACATTTATGGCAAGTCACCAATACAGAAATCAATACAGAAAGATGTTACAAAGATGAAAAAATAAAAGTTAAGAGTGTAGTTTCACTAAAAGGATACATATGAAATTAACAAACTGAGGATTTGATGAGGTCTTTGACAAGTTGAAGACGTCTATATATTCCTCGGTGTTATAAAAACACAGTCAAAAGTGTCTGTCAGGTTACATAGAGTCAAAGAAGAGTGCTTTCCCTGATCAAGACCTTCGACTGTGTTAGACACTAGTTTGAAAGATGCTTGAAAACCATATTGGGAACTGTTGGAGTAGCACTGATTTTCAAAGTAAGAATATAAATGATTTTTCAAAATTATCCCAATTATATTGAAAGGGTTATATTTTTAGGAGTGATAAAATTTTGGGAAAGAAAGTTTTTGGCTATCTACTACTCCATCTTGATACAAAAAAATGTGTAAATCTTCCAAAGAAAATAAGGAAGCAATCAATTTTAAAAGAAGTAACTCTATACATAGATGTGTAGATTATGCAAAGAAGTAACTTTTAGACACAAACTTGAAGAAAAAGCCCTTCTGAAACAGCTACTTTCATATAGACTTTGAATTATACGAAAGAAAAATTATTTCGAAACAAATACTCTCATATGAACACTGAATTTTACAAAAACACTGAGTAGAGAAAAGTGAGGAACTAATAAAAGATGCTTGGATTCCATAAGTGTGGGAATGAAGCAACTCCATTGTATTTACTGAACAAAATTAAACAAAAATACCAGTCCTAAACTGAGTTTATTGTTATGACGACAAAGGTGTGTATGTATATATATACATATATACATACACACACATCGGAAAAGTCTAGGGATATTTTTATAACATACTAAATATCATAAAAATAAATGCATGAGGTCGTTTAATTTCGATTGAATTGGTACACTCGACCACCCTGTAGNGAGAGTCGCATAGTTTCGGTTTTAAACTGCATGGCATCATATCTCTACTTTAATACAATTAACGCAAAAGAGCTCTTACACAGATATCAATTTTCGGCACAAAATTTCAATAATTACCATATTTACAAATTACCTGTTTTCCTAGAAGTAATATTGTATAACGATTGTTTTTTTCAAAATCTACTTGTTTACCAGAATTGATAATTAATTTAATTGGGTTATAACAAAAGGATTATATGAAAAATTTTGTAGAATAGTTAGATGTATCACTTCATTCGAGAAGGCTACTGTGTAGCAAAACGCTTCTTAAATAGAATTCATAGTGTGAAAATAAACTCATATTTTTACATTGAAGAAGAAAGTAATACAAATCATGAAATTATTAAACAACAAAAATTAATTGGCGCTCTGGGTCGACTTGATTGATATCACTTGATTTGGTAACTTAAAGATAGTTTGTGAATTTATTGAAGATTAGAAGTTTTGAAGGAGTTAACAGGGAAAAGAAAATTCATTTCATGAAATGGTTTTACAAGTAAAACTTTTTTTTTCTATTTGAGCTGTTTAGCTGGGATCGGACCAATGCAACAAAAAATGAAAATCATTCGCGAACATTGCTGTATTTTGCGCCAGTTTTGAATGTTCCCAAGAGGCGTCGTTACATCAAACAAAATCTACATACTTAACTAAAAGTGTTGTAAAATTTTAGTCGTCATTCGCGATGAGTGGTATGCTTGTTGAAAAATGTTAGCAAATGTTTTGTGCTGTTGGTTG